AATGCCCAACCCTCGCGATTTTTCACTGCCTTTGGCCACCTCAACGACGATCCCACGAGCCGATTCGCAAACACAGTCTCTACCTGCTATCGAAAAATCTTAATTGACTTATTCTTTTGAAAGCTGATCGAAATAATCCGCGACGCGATTAATTAAAAGAAAAATCCTGCATTATATTATATTTTCAACTCGCCAATAGTATCGCGACAATGCGATTTTCATATGAAAAGTGATTCTCTGAAATTATATCGAAATTTAATTTTTATAAATTATATTAATTATATATAAATTAATGACACATATTAAGCTTTTGTCTTTCATTAGTAATCATCAATTTAAACATTTTTTTCGATTTTTACATTTTGACTTCACATTTAATGATGAAAAATTGTGCGAAAATGAAATATATTTTACATCACTGACGCGAACGACATCAGAATATGACATTGGAGTGTCGTAAGGACAGGATTTTCCCCCATAAAACGACATCGGCCGAGAGTCTATCCTCGCGACCGCGATGCGAGCGTTTCTCGTCTCTCGTCTCGTTCCGCGATCGAGATAAAAGCGGAGGAGGGCTCCGGTATTGCGCGGTCAATCATAATTCCGGATCTTTTATTCAATTCCGGCCATTAGCATGCATACGCGCAGCGTGGAATCGCCGATCCCAGCCGGAGATATCGCGGATCGTCCTCGTAAAATCACTGAAATTCCATGTTTATTCAATATGTCGGGACGCGGTGCCGGCACGCATCTTATCTCGCGCGTGCCTAGATAAGATGGGAAGCGATTTTCGGTGTACGGGCTCTGTCTCTCTCTCTCTCTCTCTCACGCCCGTCGCGAATCACGCGCGGTTATTGCTCTTCGGACGTCGGCCCGGAACCAACCGCCATTTTAATCAATACCGAGGGGATTTTGCGCAATATTGGTCGGCATCGTCAAATCATCCTTTTCGGTGGATACTAAGATAAAGATGAACCATTTTTTTTCGATAATATTTTTTATTGCATCTTTCTCATAGATTTCGTTGTCTCGATTCGCATAATTTTTCGTAGCTTTGACATCCGATCAGCTGATTGTCATTTCAATTTTGCGGTATAATTTTTTTTTTTTTTTTTTTTTTTAAATATAGATTACGTGTTTAAAACCACTTTGTATAAAGATCCAATTCTCACTCGACGAAATGTTTACCTTGCGTCCCGCACGTTAAAACGGCGCGAAATTAAGATAAATTCGCGATCGTTTGCTATTCAACGTCGTCCTCCATTTTCGTGTCGCACGAACATAATAATTCCCGTCGAAAGTATACAGTACTTAATTCGATATCGATATCGATCACACGCGAGATAAGCTGCCGCAAATTATAACGTTTCGTTGCCCATGGATCTTCAACGATCCACCGATCGGTCATCAAACTTAATCTTTGAAAAAAAAAAGATTACCACCACTAGCATGGGATCGTAATTTTTTTTAGTAATTAATAATAATAAGAGAAAGAGTAATAATAGAGTTATTTTTTATGAGAAATATATACAGAATAAATATCGAACATTAAGTTTGCCTACATTAAGAGTCATGATTAACAATGTTGGGAGAAAATCGAAAGTAGTGGGAGACTTGAAAATTTAGCTATATTTAATGCAAGTATATATTAAAAGAATACCGATGTGTAATTAACAGATTAGATTTTATAATCAAGTATCAATGTGTAAAATCAACGCTGGAGCATTTTGTCGTTGAAATCCAGCCTGGTGAAATTTCTTCTCCAAACGCGCTCTCTGGAATTACGTAGGAATTACGAGCTCGCGTTAGAAATTATGTTGTTAGATTATGTCTGTGAACAATGATGATTGCCGCTATAATCTCTCTCCGTTGCTCCGCGCGTCACGCTCGGCTTGACACTACACAACTACGAATAAATGGCACGATCGGGGCTTATGTTGCGAAGTGTGCGTGCAAGAGTGTGCGCGAATTCATCGATTTACATCGGCAAAGTGGCGAGCACGAAAGCGAGCGCGCGCGCGCTCGCCGTTGCAGCTGCTCGATCGGAGGAGAAGATTGAAGAGGCGCGCACACTTTACTACATGGTTAACTTCATTATCGGAGAACGCGCGCGTTACAACAACAACAGCAACAAGAACAACAACAGCAACGGGCCGCGTTATTGCACGGCGGTTAGCGTAACTACTGCGTTTGTTTTCGCTGCGAGACGTGCACTTTACGCGATCCCGCCGCGCCAGCAACAATGCCTCGCCGCCGATTAAGTAATTGCGGGTGTGTTTCGTCGGTGCTTATGTCGCCGTCGTTATGTCCGGGATATCTTGACTCTACCGTTCTTGAGCATGTCGGACCACTGAATCCTCGGTGGAACACCGCGAATCCTCTGGGACCTCTGATCCTTGAGGCCAACTCTCGGGTTTTCACTCCTAGATACTGATTTATGAGACCAGGAATTTCTGAATCTTTTTTCTTTCAAAACTCGAATCTCCTTTAAAAATATTTTTTTTTCAGAATTTATGTATTATTTTTTAAATATTAAAATTTTTGAAATGTCGAAATGTTGAATATCAGTTTTGAAGTGTCGATATATTGTCTTTTATTTATTCGACGTCAAATCATTTTATCTTTCATCCTCGAAATCTCAAGAAAATTTTGGGAGAGAATGTTAGATATTTTAATTTATGTAGAAATAAATTTCACATTTTTTGCCGATTCATATTTTTCAAAAGTCCATGTTTTCTGTTTTCAGGTTGCGACGGGGAGTCGGACGAGGGTGGGAACAAGAGGCGAAGAAGTAGGACTAACTTCAACAGTTGGCAGTTGGAAGAATTGGAGCGGGCCTTTCTGTCGAGTCATTATCCCGACGTCTTTATGCGAGAAGCTCTGGCTGTGAGACTGGAATTAAAGGAGAGCCGCGTGGCAGTGAGTTTCTTTCTTTATCTTTATTCATTTTTCAATGATTAAACATACTTAGAACGCTCCTCCGACACTGCATATTGTTACTGAATATCAGAAATATTAGAAATGAAAATAAGAAAGATGACGTTAAGCGATTAATTAATTTATTTTAATTTAAAACAAAATTTGCGTAGAGATCAAACTTTAACAAAATTTTATTTCAGTTATAAAAAAATATCTGAAAAAAATAATATTGTAAAAAATGGTATTCTTTATGCAACTCCTGCCGAGCAAAGTTGCAAATTGACCGAAAAAATTTGTAAGAAAGACGTGCAACCTTTGCGATACCCGTTATGTGAACATCGCGTGATTTTCTTCTAACCAATAATAGCACAAAAGAAAAAGAAATAGAATTGCAAAATTAAAGTTTGAATCGTTCGCGAAATATAATGCAACGAAGATAGAAAAGGAGATAAGAATGAAGATCGTGAACGGGAGGGGTTGAATGAGATATAAAAGGGGGAGGTACACCGGTATGGAAAGGGAGGAAGGGAACGGATGCATGCACTATTTACGGGGCCTAACGCGCGTGTCTAAGCGGATAAATATAAATATCCGCTTGAAGGATCTGAGGGTGACCGTGTGTCCGACCGGCCGTGAAATTGAGAGTCCACCCTTCGCGGTCCTGTCGAAGGATTCGGCTGGATTGGCGTTCGTCGAACGCGGGCGTGAGCTGTCCGAACACCGGAAGAGGACTGGCCACGTGGAACAGATTTAATGCCAGTTTCGCGGAGCCTTAAATGACACGCGCCCACATCGTCGCGACGGATTTTTACAAACGAGGATCCGCTTGAGAGAAAGACCCTTTATAAGGGACTATTCTATGAAGCACTCGCGCTTCTGTTTTCGATATTTTGCATTATATTTTTTTCTGTACAAGATTAATCGGATCCTCTTTAAGAATCTTCTTTAAAGAAGCTAATTTCGACAGTAGTTGTATACCAATAAAAAAACAGCGCGAATTTACCTTCGTAGAAATATAAGAGAAACAATAGCATCTTGTCGGCGTTGGCGTTATTTAAATGGACGATTGCCGAGCGGATAAATCTGTGTCGATTTGGCACCCTCGAGTAGATCTCGAAGGTAACGGACCAGATGGACTAACTACCCCCCGGAGACGGAGCGAGGGGGCAAAGGTCCGAGATCGGAAGCAACCTCCCCCAGACTCTCTGTCGACCCTCGAAAAATTCGATCCCAAAGTCATTTTAAATTCGTGTCCATCGCTTCGTCGATCTCTGACGGACACTGTCGTCGAATAAATCCGCGTAACGTGTCATGGAATCCGCCTATAAATTTAAAGGACCGATGCCTTAATGTAGGGAGAATAACAGACTAAATTCGCATAGTTACAGGAACGGTTTCCTTTAATTTAAATTCGATCGATCGTCGGCGGTTAGTCAGTCCGGCTGCTGCGATATTTCGAAGAGAAGCGCATACGTTCATAGGGGGTTATCGTACGTCGGTGATCGATGTTATCTAATCTGAGAGCTGTCGTGGGGAAGAGTCCCTTCGAAAGGACTGCGCACCGGCTGCGCGACATCGTGTCACATTGTGTCACCACTCGGCCGGGTTATCGTCTCCGCCATCTCGCTCGTCTCTCCGCGCTCGGCAAAATCTCCGATACCGAGACCCTTCGTCCACGATCGAGAAGGAGAGATTCGAAAAATCCCGGGATCCAAATTTTTGTCTTGTCGACATGCCAATTTTAATGCGTAACGCGTAACACTTACGACTTTTGTGCGATCGCGAATAAAATCGCGAACCGTGTTTGATTTATCATGATTGAGAAAAACCGCTCCCGAGGCCACGATTTGCATTTGATGACGAAAATATCAACGGGTATATCGATAAAACGGCGAATAGAATGATCGATCGCGACGCAATTATCGCACGATTATATCATAACGCACTTTCATTGTTCATACTCGACTTATGGCAAAACTCGATCTGCAAGAAATCGATGTCATTCTTAAAATACGATCGGGTAGAGTATCTTTGAGACAGCGATACGATTATACCCAGGCTCTGTCTTTTATCCGATATTTATTTTCTGCTTCTTTTCGTCTCAAGTATAAAACACGACTGATTAAATAGCCTTTGTTAAAACAAGAAGATTGTAAGACGAAGGATTAATTACAAATAACAATTAAATCGATTTCGCGCTCTTCTCTTCGGATGCGACGTTCTTATCGGCGCGGCGGGAAAACGCTTTATTAATTGGCGGAAATATAATTACTTTAGAATGCATTATCTTCTCTCGACAGGCGTCGTACGTGGTGATTACGGTTATCTGTAACGATGCTTCTTCGAGTTTTTGTGGTGCCGCTAAAGATACTGCGCGCTTTATGCATATTAACCTCTGGTCGTTCGCTCGTACAATATAAAGCTGCACCTTTCCGATGTAACGCGATGAGCAAAAAAAAAAAAAAAAAAGAAGAAGAAAAACTATTACTTAGCTCATCTGAACACGATCGCCTTTTATACGTAATCGGGCAAAACAGCTTGTTAAGTGGCTATCGGTCGCTGATAATTCCTGACGTATAGCCGCGCTAATGCTCAAGTCGTGTTTCCCACGCGTCGCGTTAACGTAAATGTCTTACAGCTGTGCCCAGGGTAAGGTTTCGAACTACTCGGTAGCGTGTTCTCCGATGTGTTCGGGAATGACATTTCTTCGACGAGAAATTTATTAAGAATGCCGCTTTTATTCATGGCTTTAAAATTTTCAACGTTATTTCAAATTTTTTGTATCTTTGACATTTTATTTATTTTTTTTCTATAAAATCTACGGCATCTTTGCATTTATTTGGATTTTTATTGTTTGGATAATTTAATAGAACGATTTTTTTGTACAGCATCTAAATATTATCGGGTTGAAAATAATTTTGCTAAAACAATTATGTCTCTAAATCTTAATTACAGTAGCTTTTGGATTAAAAATCAAAAAGCTACAGATTTAAATGGTGCAATCGTGCGACGGATTCTAATAGAGTCGTCGAAATAATCGAATTAATTACGATCACCTTCGAAGTTTAATCGCGAGTAGCGGAGAGTCTCTCTCTCTCTCTCTCTCTCTCTTTCTCTAGAGAGAGAGAAAGGATTAGCGTTCTGGGCTCATGCCGAGGGATACGTAAAGTGTACCAAAGTCGAAGAAAGTCGTAAAGCTACGTGACGCAAGGAAGGCATTTCGGGGAGCCGAGGGGATCTATTGATCTTCGGCTCGCGTGAGCTCAGCGCCGCTCGCCGGCCATACCGTACAACTAATGTCTTCATCTCTCCCTCTCGCCACCTCTTCGACCCCCCGCCCCTAACCCCCTTCCAACCCCTTCCCACATCCCCTCGAGTGCGCCTTCGCTACCCCCGGTCGCGCCGTACGGCTCACGCTAGCCCTAAATCGTCGTTCATGCCACGAGCGTTCACGCGAGCAAAGGGTTGTCGTCCTCAATGAATCAGGACACCCGGGAGGGTCGTTGGTCCTTCGTTCCTAAGACAGGAGTCTTCCTGTAATTTCGGAACTTAATGCATCCGCCCTTCGTGTCGCTCCTGATAGCGCCATGCGAGGGCGGCGCCGTGATTTAAGTAGCTCGCGGGGAAATTTCGCGTCGTACAAGAGGAAGATCCGGACGGGAGCTTTAGATTTACGGGACGTAACGGGCGAGCACCTGTTACAATTGAGGATCTGCGGGGAAACAACCTTGTGGTTTCATCAACGTCCTTAACCGGTGGTTAAGTTAATCATCCTTGTTTCGAACTGGACATGAGTTAAATCGCGGTTATAAATATATATATAATCGATGGACGTTCAGATGAGAAAGACACGTCTCGATTTTATCTTCTTGGATATGAAATAGTTATCAACTGCTCGATTCTATATTTTCTAATGCATAGAAAGTTAACAACCAAAGTACTAAATAAACATCGCTGTCTTTCAACTCTGGACGACTGGATCGCTGTTCCAGGTGTGGTTCCAAAATCGAAGGGCAAAATGGCGGAAGAAGGAACACACGAAGAAGGGCCCGGGAAGGCCGGCGCATAATGCTCATCCTCAGAGTTGTAGCGGCGAGCCTATTCCACCCGAAGAACTAAGACGGAAGGAGCGCGAGAGGCGACAGAAAAAGTTGCTGAAGGCTCTCGAGAGACAACAACGGAAACTTGCTGCTAAAGTAAGAGAGAGTTTGCAAAAATCTATTTTCTCTTTTCAGCAATTTATAATTTATATAATGCTTACATTTTTTTACGTGCCTACTTTTTCTAAAATAAAAATGTTGATTTTGCTCATCAAAATTTCTATTATATTTTTCCATAATTTAATTAACATTTTAATATACGAAAAGAAACAATGCATAATTTTATAGATATTTTAAAATATTGTAAGTTCATACAGAGACCGCGTTACATCACTTTTATATGTCTGCATCGGCATAAAATAATGGATAGAGAGAACGATATTTTACTATCAAAATAAAGTAGTCAAGAGTTATAAAATTCCAATATTAATCAACCCTTTTGATTCTTAATTTCAGGGTATAACAGTGGACCTGTCGACACTGCGCGCCGAGTGGGAATCTCGTAGCGAGGCGGCGTCGGGTCGCGGCACCGCGAGTGGTCCCCTGAGCAGCTCGTTCGGTCAGCTGGGCCTGAATAGCGAGAGCAGCATCTCCGCGTCCGGTAACGATGCCAACGAGGAGATTGACGTCGTCGGCGGATTGGATTCCTGCAGCGAGAGCGGAAGCGAACGGATGGACTCCGCGGCCGACGGTTCCGTGGACGGCGAGTGTTATCCGACGCTCAACAGTAGTGTTAACGAGACCAGCGAGCCGCGGAAGAATCCGCAGAATCCGCCGCCGATGGAGCATCTGAACCACCAAGCCGGTATTCACCATTGGGGCTTGAGCCTGCTGGAGCGACGACGCGAGCTGGTGGGAGTCGTCGGAACGGGCCGTCAACAGTCGGTCGGCACCGGCGCCAGGAATAATCTGATCAGGCAGGCCGCCAGCGAGGAGGAGGTCCAGAGCGGCAGCATTGATCTCTCGGTGAAGGGCAGAGAGGAGAGAAAGAGGCTGAATCCGTTCTCCATCGAGAGCCTGTTGGGGAACAATAACCGGACCTCGAGCGTGGCGTCGGAGCGCAGGCCGTTGACGCCGACGTCGCCGACGTCACCCGCCTCGTCGGCCTGCACGTCGCCCTCCACGACGTAGTGAACAGGCGCGGATGGGACGCCGAGAGGTGAGCCGGATTAAAGTTGACGCGCGAGAGATTCGAGGGTGGCGAAGTGTAATTAGCCGAGGTTCCTCCTCTGTGCGGGAGTTGTCGGTGACGGTGAAGTGCATTCATCGAATAAATCGCGTGGGCCGAAGTGGCGAAAACCTTCGGGACTCACTTGTTCTCCCGTCGAGATAATTGCGCGAGAGGACCAATCGTGATAAGGGTTGAACTGGGCAAGTAATATTCCCGTTCACATTTTTATCAGGATGTTTTCGCTTTGATCGAAACCGATAGATTTTCATCGTGCATATTCTCGCGTATAGACATTTTCATGTTCTTCGCCGCGAATGCGTCTGAGTTCTCGGTATCCCGAATTTCTTTCGAGTCCGGAGGAAATCAAGGGAAACGAAAAAAATCTACGAATAGAAGGTGAATTTTAGAGAGATCCGAAAATTAAAATCGGAATTTCTTTGACTCGAGAGGGATTCGAGGATCCGAAGATTGCATCTCATCGGCGTGGATCGGCAAGACTTATATCACTTTGACATATCGAATGCATGGATGACCGTTATAGATCGAGTGCGTTTGATTTCGTCCATTGTGTTTCCTTGAAAAAAAAAGAATGAAAAAATGTGCAATAAACGCGGACGAGCTCGCCGCTAGGCGGGTTGTCTGTCTTTGAGGTATGTAAGAGAGAGAAAGGGAAAGATCAGAATTTTGAGTTTATTCAAATTTTGCAGCCTCATATTTTAACTGAAAGATGCACGACTTCTCCATTAAACGTCTAATCATCCGTTAGACGGGTTTAGATATTCGAGACCAAATCTATTTATAGTTTTGTATATTTTAACACATGCATCTTGATATGAATTTTGTATATATAAATGTGTCTATTCGATTTTTCTAATATTTTACACGTAAAATTATGCAAGATAAACACATTCATATTTAAAAAGTAATCTCATCGGTATTATTTATGAAAGCATGTTTTTGCTTACGGTATTTTTTTTTTATTTTTAGAGCGAAACAAAAAGAACCGTCTCTCTCTCTCTCTCTCGCGAATTAAAAATTCAGCTGAGACAAGTTATACGTTTGACATTTACATATAAGAAAAAATCGCGATATATTTATTGAGACATTGCAATTCGAGATTGATTCGAGGAGCAGGCATCACTCGGAAATCATGCGAAAATGATTTCGTTAACGCTCTCGCGCGATGATTCCCGAGGAGAGGACATGGGTGTAAATTATCCTGGGATCGCGACCGATAGAGGGTCGACCAGCCACCTGCTCGGATTCACGCACGTAAAATGTCAGGTATTAATAATCCGACGATTTATGAGATACCTCTGATCCGTTCTCCTTCATTAGGAGGACGCTTTTATTGTCGATCGGATGTAATCGGATGTATCGCTGCCCGACTAATTTTAATGCGAGAGAAGGATAAAGATGAGTGGAATATCTTGAACATCTTATTTACTGACTTTAATGTAATTCAATGCCTTGTCGGGAGCTACCGCGCTTTATCAGAGTTTTTTAACGGATTACTAAATCCGTCCATACTATAAAATATTTTTATTTTGTGAACATTTTTTTACAGAAAGATTTAATTAAAGCGGGCAAATCGATGTGTAAAATAAATATTTATAAAAAGATAACTCCAATATATATATATATAAATTATATATGAATTAGCTGAAAAGAAGGAGAGAGAAAAATGTTATGAAAAGAGGGAATATAAGATTCCTCGAAGCTTTAATATCATTCTCTTGTTTTCAAATTCCGGATAAATTTGATGAAAATTGTCGAAATAATGAAAGAAATTTTGATTCATTTTGTATCATTTGATATGAATCATGATCCATCTATATTTAAATTCGCGGCAACTTCGTAAAGATTCCGCGTGTTGCAATCAAACTGCAGCCGAGTTGAAAATAAAGAGATCTATTTATCTCGCTCTGAATTCGCGGAAAGGACAAGCGAGAATGACTGTTTATAGTCCCTTTCGCCGAGGTGTAACTCGATCGAGTTCTCGATCCAATAGATCAGGCGGCAGATTCCTTGCCGGTTATTACAAGGGGTCGGAGGTTGATCGCTCGCATAAACCATTTAGCTCTGATCACCTATCGATACCGATATTTCCCAGAGGTATCGGCTATCTTTCCGCTCGATCTTCGTCCGACAAGGCCCTCTCTCCTTGTCTAGATGAGCCTTACCCACTCCGCACCAGATTAAATATCTGAGTCTGGTCTCCTCTCTCTTTCTCTCTCTAGCTTCTTCCACTAATTCCTCTCTCGTCTTCTTACGTATTCGAGCATTCGCGATAAGCGAGCTCGATAATTTCCTGTAAATTAATATTTCGCGCCTGTGCGCTATATTTTAGCTTGGACCAAAAAGAAGTGCCAGGATAACGTAACTTTTATATTCAGTGGAAATTTAAAATCCAAGATAAGATCTCTAGGCGTGATTTAACAAAAAATACTTTTGGAAGTTATTTTAATTACATTTTTTTTTTAAATATTTAAACTAATTACAGAGAATTTAGCAAAGACTCTTTTCCAAGCTTGAGAGAAGGGAAGATTCTCTATTAAAGATAAATGTGTGCAAAATATTTCAATTAATAAAATTTGATTTATATATTCAACTACAAAACTATCTGCATTTAAAGGAGTAATATTGAAATTGTTTTCTGCCACGTAGAAGCCTTCGAATTGAGACAGCTCGAGCTTGTCGGGCTCGCGGCCAGCTCGTCCCATAAAATACCGGGGACTTGGCCCGGCGATCGCCATTATGCATGTACATAAATCGGTGCGCGGAGCGAGAGTACGTAGCTCTCGTCTCTCGTGTACGGGAATACGGCTCTACCTACGTATTAAGTCGTTTCTCGAGTTTCGCCGTGTACGAGGAACGCGCTCTCTGCTCTCTCATTTCCACGAAACGACATATGCGACGGGGATGCGCGACGAGCTCGCGAAAAATCGACAAGCGGGATTTTTTGCGAGCATCATTTATCGAACCGACACCGCAGAAACGGGCACGTAATTTCAGTGGATTCTCGCGCGAAACTCCTCGTAATCTCTCGACGATTTTTGAATATTAATTAAGCAGAATTTCTCGCACCTTGACTCTGATATGATTTTAACGTTTATTACGTCGGACAAGCGTGATTAATTCTCGAGTATCGATCGATCTCGCGGGCTATATATATATATATATACTTTGTCCTTTTTTTCTCGTTCTTTTTTTTTTTTTTTCTTGCGTCTTCGGTGAGCGGCGAGCGCAATCCCGCCGGATATTGAAAAGCATCCATCTACGGCGGAACCGGAGGCGGATCGGGACTTGGCAGGAGATCGAAGATGCGAGATAAGGAATTAATAGCCGCTTTTGGCAACGGGCCCGGTCTAACTGGCGGGAACAAATTTTATTACCAAATTTTCCTCCGCCTGTACGCGCCAAGATGGTAGATATCGTTTGCCAGCCGTGAACTGAGGCTGTTCGCGGGGACCCCGAGCCTTGTATGTGTACATACTCTCTCTTGTTCGTGGGATCGAGATATCGCGCCGCTGCTTCACGGGCGGTCGCCACGCTTGTTGGATTCACTTTTCTGCCAAAATCGATTTCCGATCGTTCGGCCCCTCGGGCCGATTTTAAACCTCCACGAAAGTCGCCGAGTCGAACTTGGATTACAGATGGACGCGAGATGATTCGATGATCAATGAATCTGATTTTTTTTTTTCGTTACTTTTGCAAAGTCTCGTCGAAATTTATCCGGAATTTAAAAGCGAGAGATTGGTGTTAAAGAGCTTTAAAGAACGTTATATTTTTAATAATATTTTTCTCTTCCATTTTTCTTATATTAACTATTTTATATATAATTTATATTTGGAATCATCTTTTAGATATTAACATTGCGCAATTAATCTGTCTTGTTTTAACTAGACTTTTTATTTTTATATTATAAAAAAAAAAGATAGATGAAATTCAAGAATAATTTAAAAATAAAATCGATATCATAATCTTTTCCAGAAAATTTGTTTAATCTTTACATTAATATTCATTCATCTATCGAATAACATTTTAACCTCTTGAAATATCTCTGAATTTTTTATAAAGGTAATATTATAAAATAATTACATATGTAAATGAAAATGGACGAAATTCACTTCTTTTCTCGATATTAGGAATAGAAATTCATGTATAAACTAAAAACAGAGAGGTGTTGTAAAACGCAAACGAGTATTTTTTAAATTTCTGTACTTTTTACGGATTATCTTCCATTATAAATTGTTTTCCTCGCCGACTAATTCATACAATTTCCACGAAGCGTCACGCTGGAAGGCGCAATCATCCCGTAGGATCGGTAATTTCGCCCGACACCTGCTAATGCACGAATGTGTCAGCAGCAGCGACGAGCGGTCAAAGAATGAAATTGAGTATTATGCTAATGCGAATGGCTGTGCAAAGCTCCTCTTCGCAATGTTGCATGCGATATAGGGACGCGCGTCATGCCGGAGCGCTAAATCTCTTTCCGTTATTACGAGAAAAAACCGGTCCGCGCGAAAGGATGCCGCGAAAATATCACCGTTCACAGGGAATGTGTCCTCGAACGAGCGGCCGGATTATCCGCCGGTGCTATTTTATCAAGCACCTGTGCTGACGCAATTTCTCTATATCTACGTTGCCCGATATGTAAGAAAACACCAATTAGGCAACATTGAACGAATCTTTGAACTTCTGGTTTACTCTTAATGTTTGTCATTCGAGAAAGGAGGTTATCGAAAAGACGTATTCTTGGAAAAACGCGAAGCTCTCTCTATGTATATCCTCAACGAAGCCTGCAAATTTGCTTCTTTCAATCAATAAGTTATTTATCACCGCGTACGCGCTGGCATGTAAGATGATGTAATGTAATTAATGGTCGCTTGTTTGACGCGGCAAAAGGAACGTTTGATTGACTGGTCAAAATTGGATCTGCTCAAATTATTCTACAACGCAATTTTTGTTGCATGAAAAATCGATTCCGTGCGTGCTTGGTTTACGTAAAAGATTTTGAATAAAATTGTGTAAACTTTAATAAGATCTTAAAACGCTTTATTTTGCAATATAATTTTTCGAGAAAATTTTTTGAAAAAATTTATTTGTCCGATTCTTGCATTAAAATTCTTTTTCCAAGCTTTTCAATGTCAACGAAAATATTGTTAGGCCCAAGTATTTTCCTCATTTCTCTCTTTCTCTCTCTTTCTCTTTTGACGCAGCAATCGACTCTCTTCGCGGCAATATCGCGATAAGTATCTCGGGCCGACTCGACTCCGCGAAACACGAGGAACGATATCCGCGTAGTGGTGGTGCTTTGATGGCGGCCAGCCAGAAGTAAATCTAAGGTTTACGAGGCAGTACCGCCTCTTACTAGCACCTCCTCGAGCAGTGCACCCCGGAGTTTCACGGGGCACCGCGAGAGCGCGAGCCCCTCATAATTCTCATAATAAATCGCCTCGAACAACTGACGCCCGCTCCACATACAAAGGGATCACCGACCAAAAGGAAGAGCGAAGGGTTAGAAAGGGAGAGAGGAGGAAGGGGAAGATAGAGGGAGGAGGGAGGGGGCGGGAAAGGGTTCGCAACAACCTGGGTCGACCCAGATCGCGAGACCGCCGTTGTTGCGAAAGGCGTTACTGTTGCATCTCACAAGCGAGCCGGCCGA